TAGTTACGCAAATTTTTCGAACAAGTTTTGTTATGTTCGTTTAGAACTCTTAGTTATGTTCTTATGTTGACCAGAGTCTGAAGAAATATTTTTTATTATAGATTATGGCTTGCTTTTGAATAAATTGAAAAGTTTGTTCCACGATGTAAATGTATGTTTGTAATGCTTGCGGGACTTTTGATTTTTTCAATTGATTGTGTACATCCATTTTGTGAGAAAGCAATTCTATTGCTAGTTATTGATTTACTCGGGTATTGTGAGTAAGAATTATTTTAATTTGCAAAACTATACATACATAGCATTTATATATTTTTTCATATCTTAACAGCAATCAAACTTTACGTTCAATGAGTTGATGGGCTCCTTGTTCGTATTTTAGATGGTAACCTGATGGCTGATCCATTATTCACATTTGAAGAATTTATTATTATAATTTATCTAATAGGGCTGACTTTTATTGATGCAGCAATGCCGGACAAGAGTTGTTTTTACTTAGAAACATATTGCTAATATTTATAAATAGCATATTAATTCAATTCGTGCTCAACAGATTTTAGATAATTATTAGTTTTTGGACGCAAATTCTAATCGAATCTATAGGATCCGGCCATCTAACGTTTTTTTTTAGTCATTCTGTACGAATTTATGAAATAGTTTGAATAGTTGTTCGGCTATTTAAATGAAATTATTTTTCATTATTAACCGCATGGGTTGTACTTTCAAATCAAAATAGAAATTTGCGAAATATTCGGTAGTTTTTTTCTATAGAATTTTCAACAAAAGTTATTTGGCGGACCCTGTAGTTTTCTAAATTTTTAGGCGTACTATATGTGATGTGTTTTTCCTCTCGCTCATTTGAAAACTTAATTTAATAGAATAAAATTTGATGATAGAGGAACGATTTATGAAGATGATGAAAATAACATCGGTCAATCAAAAGGCGAATTCAAGTTTGATCAATTAACAACTAAGCAATTTTTTATATGCTCATCGAAATAGAATAAAATGATTATTTCAGTTAGCCATCTTGTCGCTTGGTGTTATTAATAATAAATCATTTTAATAAAATTATCGTTTGAAACTAAATTATTCTAGTTTGTACTTACTAATGATGATATGCGTCATTCTTAAATCCATGCCTTTGTTGAATTATCCTAGCACCTCCCTCATCGTATTTTGGAGTTGTTACGACAGGCCTCCTATTAAAAAAAAGTAAAATATCAATGCATTAGTTTTTTTATTTATTGCAAAATATGTTAAAATAACAATTTCCATCAAACTACGGACATAATATTTTGGTTTTAACGAATTAATTGTTATTCATTGAAAATATACTAATTGTTTGCACTTTGGGCTTCTTTGTAGAATTAAATCTATTTTCTCAAATGATTTCAAAGTTTTATAGCAATATTAATTGTAAGCAACATATTTTATTATAAAAGCCGAGAAAATAATATAAATTTAAAAAAATAATTAAGTTGAATGAAAGCAATTATTTGTTGTTAGAGAATAGATCGATATTGTGCGAAATCATAAATAACAAAAATCAAAACTAGAATAATTTATTGTTTTAATTAATATTTTTTTAAACTAAAAAACCTTTTTATCTGATTTACTATATTTGCTTACTTGTATTTTCCTTTTGGATCAGGTAAATATTTTCCGGTATATTTTCCGAATCCATATCGTGAATAATAGGGACCTCTTTCGCCGTCGCTTACGTGATAATATTTTCCTTCGTCGCCGATCGGCCTATATTTTCCGTCATCATAAGGATAAGTTTCAGGTCTGTAGTCTCCTTTATCATGTTGCAGACCATGCACAACTTGTCCGCAGAAAATTGTAGAGAATAAAAATATCTGCAAACGATAATACGTTACACTACAATGTTAATAAACTATTGATTCATTTCATTTTATTTTATTCGTGTGTTTTAATTCAATTCAGCTGAGAAGTATTTTGTATAAACTTGACCAAAGGCAAAAACGAATTAATGATTTTGGGTACATGATTATGACTTCAAAGCCAGATCAAATTCCAGTTTTTTTTGGGGGGGGGGGGGTTGAAATAGCTTAGTCAGTAACGTGCCCGACTTATGATGTCAGCAATCTTTGGATCGATTCTTTGCACATAGAATATGGAATTTTTAATTAAAATTAAATATAATTAACTTACCGTAGGGTAAGTAAAAAGGAAAATGAAAATTTGTATACATTTTTACAGTCTAGAGGTTTCTGAATGTTTTTGAATGTGCGTGCGCGCGTGTGTGTGCGGATACAAATTTTCGTCGACGATTTCGGGAACACAGATCATCGATTTGAATAATTCAGGAAACATTCTATGCCTAGTAATAAGGAGACGTGCTGATAAGTTTTTTCCAAAGTCAGGTCTAGCTGTTTTGATGATACGGAGAAAAAAGTGCCAAAAATGTTATTTCAGTTTTTTAAAGAGCGTAGCGTCCGATTTGAATAATTCAAGAAACATTTTACTTGTATTGAGAAGATGAACTGATTAAATTTTTGGGATGGCAGGTCTAGAGGTTCGGATCTACTAAAAAAAGTAAATGTATAAGTAAAAAAAAATTAAATAAAAAAAATATTTTAATTTTTTGAAAACTTTGAGAAAATGTGATAAAATGAACATTTTGAAATTTTTGAAAAAAAAGACTTTTTTGAGAAAATTTAATCTTTTGTGTATTTTGAAAATTTAAATATTTTTTCGAAGCGCGTAAGCGCCGCGTTGCAGTCAAACGGATAAACAACGATACTCAACTCATGGAAATGTAAACGAAATTCATACTCGTTATTAAAATCTCTGATAATTTTATGTGGATATGCCTAAAGATCATTTTTGACCCCACATATTTTTTTAAAGAAAATATTTTTTTAAATTTCTTCATTCGATCTCCGAAACTGCTAGACCTGCCTTCTCAAAAAAATTAATGATTTCTCAATTTTTCAATACAAATATGATTTTTGAATTATTGAAATCGGACGCTTTGTTCTCTCAAAAATTGAATCACGGCTGGACCTGCCTTGTCCAAAAACTAATCAGCGCATCTCTTTATCAGTAGGAATCGAATGTTTTTTGAATCATTCAAATCGGTTGATATACTATTTTTGAAATTGTCGATGAAAATTTGTATCAGCACACACACACTCACATCTATTTTTTCGGTATATCAAAAATGTTCAGAAACTTCTGGAACGTAAAGATATATACAAATTTTCATTTTCAATTTTTTACGATTACTATAACTTACCCTAAAACTATTTTAAACAAAACAAAACAATTGAATCATTTTAAAATTATCATAAAAAATTAAAATAAAATGTTATAAACGATTTTTTTATCGTTGCACATTATCATAATGTTATAGATGCATAAAATGTTAAGTAGACAGTTTCAAATGCTTTAAAAGGCCGATCGAGCTTTTTCTCATGCACTTTTTATACACAATAAATAATCAATACAATACAAAATCTACACCTGTTAATTATGACTTGATTAATTTAATTTATGAAAACGTGATTGTGATAAATTAATTTGTCAGAAAACATTCTTAAACTGAAAGTCAATGCTAACTATTTCTGTAATTGAGCGCATGTAAAGTTGATCAGCATTTTTAGTACGTACTATATTATTAGTTTTATTGTTAAATAATGCGATTTACTGGAAAAAGATGTAGGTGTGCAATTAAAGAGATTCAAAAAGTATATGCAATGTAAATAAATTATTTATAAAATAGTACACGATAAGGTGAATAACATTATTCCAGATAAAGCTAGGAGATATCTTCTACAGCGTGTATTATAAAAAATTGATGTTTCGAGATTTAAATAAAAATAAATAGCTAACTCACATCAGTATGAAACTTAACGACAATATTTTTTTCAATAAAAATATATAATTAAGATTTTTGAATCATAAAATATTTATATGAATTTAAAACGGAAAGAAAGCTATGTATGTTCAAATCCATAACTCGTTCTATTTGATTAGTAAGTTGACAAAATTTTAATAACAGTAATTAGTAGATATTTATATTTCCTACTCAAATAGCTGTTATTCAGTGTATTAGATTAGAAAAAGATCTATATTTTTATTTTATGGTATTGATCTTGAATGACTGAATAATGCGAATAAAATGTTCAAACGTACATTACAAAAATATAGATCTTTGATATCCTAAAAATTGAGTCACCACACAATTATTTAGGGCCAGTGTTATATATTTATACAATCGAAAACAACAACATTCACATAATCCTTAATTTGGGCACTTTTTTTAAAATCGCTTTTAACAACTCGTTTGTATGAAAATATCTTTAATATATAAAGCTAGCCCTTGAAATTGAAATAATCCAGTTCGAACACTATGCATAGCACAAAACTAATTTTATATCTAATCACATTCAATTAACTGATTTTGTCTAATTACCAGTATTGAATGCATCTTGGTATGAGCTTTCACTGGTTCACAATAATGCGCGTTTATCAAATGCAGTTTCTGTACTGTCGTTTGATTAAAAATTCTTAAGGAATTTATATAAGTGAATGATAACAGCCATCTCTTTCATATGTTTATGGAAATACGTTAATGCTTTATATTGATTCCACCGAACCGAATTTGCATCGATCACGTTGCTGTTGCTTTTCCAGAAGCGGGATTAATGGCCATATCATCATTTAGGTATTTCGAATTTCATACTGGCCGATCAATTCCGGGATTTTACCATCGTAAGCTGATATTATATATTTAAATTAAAGGTGAAAATATCCCACGAATCATCCATTTCCTACTATAAAGAAAACGGTAGACATTTTCAGGAGTTCTTCGAGTATTTGAAACAAAAACTGGTGGCATGTGGCTTAGTGCCTTGTTAAAATGCTGGAACTTTTTGTACTGAAAATTAAAATAAAAAAAATTTGCAAACTTTAAAAAAATGAGATTTTTGATTATTTTGAAATTTTTGAAAAAAGTCTTTTTTGAAAAATTTGATTTTTTTTCAAGTCTAGCGGATAAACATTGGCACAGAACTCACAGAAATGTAAACAAAATGTATACTTATTATTAAAATCTCTGTAAAATACGTGATAATTTGAAGTGCATATGTCTAATGATAATTATTGACCCCCAAAACTTTTTCACCTTTTCACCGATCCCTGAAACCGCTAGATCTGGTTTCCAAAAATTTAATTATTTCTTCATTTTGTTAATACAGGTAAAATGTTTTTTGAATTATTACATATATCTATTTTTTCTGAGGTATGCCAGAATGTTCATAAACCTTTGAAGCATAAAGATATATATATACATATTTTAGAAGAAATTTTTTAAAATAAAGCCATAAAATTAGTTTTAGAAAAATCCACTGACTTTACACTTTACACTTTATTATTGCTAGAATTCTACATGACACACTAGAAGTTCCTAAAGTTATGACTTCAATTACAAAAAAATTGAAATCATTCTTTAATAAGTGCTTGTTGAACAATAATGAAACTATAAAGTTCTATTAAAGAAGATGTAATTTATGAACAAATTCTAATTTTCAATTCGCTAATAATCACACAAGATATTATTTTTATCAAATTATATAAAATTTACATTACATATTATGTACATAATATATTTTTGATAATATTGTACTGACTTTAAATTTATTGTTTACGTTCTTTGTATTATTTTTGCCACAAACTTAAAATTAACAAGATTTTCAGCAAAAATGAAGATAAATTTTATTATAGTTCAAATACGTTTTATTACCTTAAACAGAAATACGGCATTTATGCCAAAATATTAAATCAAATGTTTATAGTATATTAAAAAAAAACATATTTTAATAAATTTATTTTCATAAGAGAGAACATATTTCCAATATTTTTATATAAAATCAAGAAAACTATTAAAAACTATTACATTTAAAAAGTATCATGGTTTAAGTCTACTCCACATATCTTCTAGTATAATTAGTGCTGCTTCGAAAGACTTATCATCACCATGCTGGTTATGAAAAGCGATTGAATCTTGGTCGGTTCTTCCCTTGCAGATAATATTTGGGAATTTCATAAGGTAAGGCATAGGATTTCTGACAGTAGAAGAAAGTATGACTTGTCCGATGCCATTACCTAAATTTACTCCAAAGTCGGAAGCAAAATGCACCGATTCCAGGTTGAATGAAAAAGTCAAGCCTCTTCGTTTTTACGAGTGTGGTTAGATGGAATTTGACGTTCCGATCGATTAGCCTTCATATTGGTGAGCCTTCCTCGCACTGTTTTCATCCGAATAGGTACTGCGATGAGGTGAGCAACCAAGGTGGGGATCTGTGGCTGCTGCAGCTTTACTAATCCAATGGAGGACGACGATTCCCTTCTTCAAGTCGTCCAAAAAATTTATTTAATTTCGGCTTCGAGGTCCATCAATATACTGTCCACATCATAGATTAAAGTTAGAACACTTTAATTAGCACAAGGTGCTAATGAGATTGTAGCAATGTTTTAATAACTTTAAAAAACTGGTTTGAAATATAAATTTATAAAACCTGTATGAAATATTGACGTAGTGTTCACTTTCTTTTGTTTTCTATTATATATTTTTTTTGGTAACTATGCTAATAAAAAATATTATAGTAAAAAACAAAATGGCAAACAATAGAAAGTAGACACTACGTCAATATTTTATACATGTTTTATAAATTTATATTTCAAACCAGTTTTTAAAGTTATTAAAACATTGCTACAATCTCATCAGCATCTTGTGTTAAAGTATTCTAACTTTAATCTATGATGTGGACATTATGTTGATGGACCTCGAAGCCGAAATTAAATAAATTTTTTGGACGACTTGAAAAAGGGAATCGTCGTCCTTCAATGGATTTACGAAGCTGCAGCAGCCACAGATCCCCACCTTGGTTGCTCACCTCATCGCAGTTCCTAATCGGATGAAAACAATGCGCGAAAGGCTCACCAACATGAAGGCGTATCGATCGGAACGTCAAATTCCATCTAACCACACTCGTAAAAACGAAGAGGCTTGACTTTTTCATTCGACCTGGAATTGGTGGATTTTGCTTCCCATTATGGAGTAAATTCGGGTAATGGCATCGGACAAGTCATACTTTCTTCTACTGTCAGAAATCCTATGCCTTACCTTATAAAATTTTAAATATTATCTGCAAGGGAAGAACCGACCAAGATTCAATCGCTTTTCATAAACAGCATGGTGATGATAAGTCTTTCGAAGCAGCACTAATTATACTAGAAGATATGTGGAGTAGACTTAACCATGATACTTTTTAAATGTAATAGTTAAGAATAGTTTTCTTGACTTTGTATAAAAATATTGAAAATATGTCTTCTCTTATGAAAATAAATTTATTAAAATATGTTTTTTTTTTTTTAATATACAATGTACATTTGTTTTTATTTTTTGGCATGAATGACGGATTTCCGTTCAAGGTGATAACTAGTGGGGCGCATGGCATTGTGCCTTAAGGCAAATTGCTGGTACTTTCCGTACCGTAATTAATTGCTTTGAATAATTTCAAATGCATTATTTATTATAAATATACACAGTGTAAACTTACAAGTGCTTTTTTAAATTGGGCGACGAGCATATTCTACAAACAACTTATGTGCATATTCATAAAAAATTGTTTTTTTTTTTAAATTTGGTTTTTTGATAATTTAGAATTTTTTTCATTTTATTTTCCTTTCTTTGCGATTACTGTAACTTGCGCTACGGGAAATTAATTATAATCGATGCTTTAGCCGGCATTGCTGTATCTGAAAAAAAGTCGTTACAAAAAGAGATAACCCAGCCATTGGGTTGCCATCTAAAAAGTCACATCGTTAAAAAGTTATTATATATGACAAGATTATAGAACTAGTAAATTCTAATTGCTATTAGTAAAAGATAAAATTGAAGGTCTATAATATTTTCCATATTAATTTTTATAGAATACAAAAATCAGACAGAAAGTCTTTTGCGCCAATGGTTAATGTTACTTTCATCAAGTTATATAAATCAACCAGCTACATGTTTTTTTTGTTTTTAGTTTTAATAACATGCAACAATTTAATAACAATAAACAGTTTAAGTTTCAATAACAAATATATCCAATTTTAGGTATTCAAGATGGTGTGATATAGAATTTGAAGTATAATCGGCATCAGAAGATGGCTGGTGAACTGAATATTTTTAGCAGAGCTAAAGGATCAGATCAGGTCAGTGAATTTAATTGTATTAGTTCACTAAATTTAAATATATTAAAAAATATTCAACGCTATTAAAAATTCTAACGCCCATACTTTTTACGATGGCCAAACTCGGCAAATTTTAGATGTTAAAATTATATTTTTTTGACCGAAAGAAACTATTATTTATAAGGATGAAAAATTCTATTTTCACGAACAACGTGTGAAAAAGTTCGGCAATTTTTTATGCTAATAAATTCATCTGTGTATCCTTTAAAGTTGAGCTATTTTTTTATTTGATGATAGTTGAGCTTTTTCCCCTTGGATATTTAAAAATGATACCAGAAAAATGGGCCAAATACTGTATGTATCCCACAAAAGTGTGGTTTTCTTTATAATAGCTGATTTTTAATTTATAAAAATAATCATTATGTATAGTAATAAATAGAATTTGGCAATTATTTATTGCCATTCGTCAACAAAATATGTCTTGATATAAAGGCAAGAATATCCACGTAATTTATTAAAAATAGATACATTCTGTATAGAACATTACTGTTTCTCTATTCATTACGAGCTGCAATTTGATTTGCAAATGAAATAAATTTTATAGTTAAAAAAATAATTCCTGGTAAATTGAATTTGGAGCGTTAATAATTATTCAACTAATTTAGATAGCAAATTTTTTATTTAACTTTTGTTTTGTTTTCTATAAGTATGTTCGGCAAAGTCTTCAATTTTATTTTGATTTATTTATAAAAGATTATTTGAGTAACGTACATTTAGTATGAAGTCTGATATTGGAATATTTTAAGAAAACATGCTCTTCATATTATTTTCAATATTATTTGTCAATCGCTTTCAAAGAAAAATAGATACGATGAATGCTGAATATAAACTAAAATTTATTCTTAGAATTAAAATTGCATTTTGAAAAATAAATACTGCGATGCATTTTGCAAAGGTTAGTAACACACATCGCTTTCGATTCCATGTGTGGATGAACCTTGAACTGAAATGATAAAATCGAACTTCAATAATTTTCTTTACACTTCTTAATAAACATCATGATTAAATATATACTTTATTATAATGCTTTAAATATTTTGTATGTTTTTTGGGATTCGACTGTAAGAATTCCAAAATTTAAATCAGACCTGTCATGACCTCTGACCGTAGGAGCATTAAATATTTTATTTATTTCAAATAACTTTTGCTTTCAGCTTCATTCATGTTTTATTAATCCCATGATTAATT